ATCCGCACGGAGAATCTCTCTCTCCTCGGCTAGCTTCCCCGAGTTCTCCTTCTCCAGAGTCAACATCTCTGTCTCGGCAGCCAGCAGCGCGGCTTGCTCGCGGAACATCTCCTCGGAGTGCTCCAGGGCAGCCTTTAACTTTCGCGAACTCGAGGCGAGGGCCGCTTTCTCCTTTTCCAATTCTTTAATGCGGTCAGGATCCTCCCCTTCCTCGGACAACACAACGACCATTTCAGCCATCTTCACCAGCCCGGCCATATTGGCGGCCAGGTGCCTCCTCCGGTCCTCCTTGCTCATCCGCCTGATGGCTTCATCCTCATCGGCAGTCACGGACAAAGGGAACCCCTCGAAGAAACCCTCTTCTTTGAAGCAAGGGGGCAACCCGAAGGACCTTACGGCGCTGGAATCCTCGCCGACCGCCGGCCCACTTTCCACCTGGTTCCTTTTCCTTGGTATCAGGTCGATATGTGGCTCGACCTCCTGGACCTCCGGGGTCTCTTCCGAAGCAGCCCCCGAGCTAGGCGGCGAATCCACCCTCACCGCATGAGAAGCACCTGGACTATGCGGCGGGCCCATCCTCGTTTCTTGAGGAGCTTTCACCACCCTCTTGTTCGCCCTCCGGTCACAGGACAACTTCAAGAGCCTCTCCCGTCGTCCGGCCATCGAACCTGCATGAAAAAAAAACCGGGTTAGTGCCGAGCAAATAAGCAAACAAATGACAAGCAAAGAAATTCAAACAATAAACGACCTAGCAGACGCGCAGCCTGCCCAAATGACTGGCACTCCACGAGTGCCTTCGTATCAATCGGTCGGGCCTCGAAGGTCGGATAACCCTCCTCGTCCAGGACATCTTCCCCCTCCCTCGTGGCCCATCTGGCGGGGTGGAAGCTATCAACGTACCGACAAAGAGTGTCATAAGCCTTCTCGTCCTCGGAACCCATGTCGCCCGCAGACGTATGATAATACCCAGTGCCGTGCTCATAATGCCTAGAGATCCAATGCACGGGAAACTTGGCCGTGCGTCCCAACACCGGATGCCCTTCGTTGTCTAAAAGTGCCTCCCCGTCATCGTCGGTTATCACTGCTTCCTCCTCGTACAAGGACTCTAAAGCGGCTGTGGTAACCGGCCTCACGACATACCACTTGTCTTTAAAACCCCGCACAGAGTCCATGTACATCCTGAAAAGTCTCTTAGACTATTTCAGGGAAACCCATCTATGCTTTCCTCCCCGGGACTGGCGCTGCAGATGGAAGACTCTGAAGAAGAGGGGTATAGTCGCCCCAATCCTCAGAAAACGACAGGTCAGCTCAAACGCACGGATAAAGGCGAGCAAATTTGGATGTAGCTGCGACGGGGCAAGCCCCAAATGGCTAAAGACCCCGACCTGAAAGTCGCTGAAGGGCAGCTGCAACCCAAGGTCTTTGAATGCAATTTCATACATAGGGAAACTGTACTCGGGGAACACCGAGCAAATCCGAGCAGTGAAGGTCGGTCTAGTAACAACGAAATTCTTTTGAAAACCGGGCTGGCCGTGGCCTGCCTCAAGGACAACGTATGGCCTTCGGCTGCGCCGACTATAGACCGAGGCGATTCCTCTAGGCTCGGCACCCACCCAGTCCAATAGATGGTCCTCTACGGTGTCGACCAAACTCACAGTCTCATCGGCACTTTGTTCTTCCCTTTCGGGGCGTTCTGAAGAGCACGGTTCGTCCGCCATGGTTACCTACAGAGCACAGGAAACCAGTCAATTGGGCACGAAACCATACGCTCGTCATAACGGACAAGATGAAGTACGCAACAAACCACGTCGCTCCATGCGCGACCATAAAGTTGGTTTGAAACAAAAATAGCAGTCACCTCCCCGACTTCCAGATACCTCGACGGGTCCTTCTACAAGCCGCCTAAATAAACCGACAACACGGTCACTCGTGAATACATCGACCCGGGGTATGAACATGGCGAGCAACATCATAAAGCCTAAAACTAGAGCTATGAGTATACCGGGCACGATCACGAATTAGGCGCCCTGGATCATGAAGACCCCGGGCAGCACTGCAGATTATAACCTAAACTATGTATCTACCAGCCACGAACATGCGTTTGCCGACCTCGTGCATGAATTTGTCGGGCTGAACATAAGTTTTCCGGGCTAGTCCCATGCGCACAGCCTCTAAAAAACGTCTAAAATGATGAAAATCACGTATCACAACAGAAAACAGAAGAGACGAGTCACTTACGTGGAATCAAAGGAGGAAATTTGACGACGGAGAAACGAAATCTACAACAGAGATCACAACGGTCCTGTGGATGTCTGAGAAGAACAGCAATAGCAGAAACACAATGAAGAGGAGAAGCACGAAGAGTGAAAACACATTCTGGGGACCAAGGACCCTATTTATAGTGATGACGTGGAATACCAAACGTCACCTCGGGCAACCATAGAGTTTCTCTCCTCGACGCATGGCTCCCTAGGCAATAATGACCCTATCCTCCATAGGGTGGCCGCTCAGTTCCCAAAAAGACCTCGCGTGCCCGACAGACGTAGCCTGTTGAGAATCCCTCGAGCATTCCTCGAAGGGAACCAGCCCGCGAACATGATGCGGGGCACCCCCTCGAGCACCCCCATGAGGAACTACATCTCTTGCCCGGATATGGGACCCCGCGACGAAAGCGACCTAAGATCAAGTCATGGCTCCTAACCCAAGGAACCACGACTTGGGGGGCTCCTGTTCTGGACTGGGCCGGGCTGGCACAAAAGCATTGATAAGGCCCAATCCAAACGGACTTGCTGGGGGTCACGCCGACCAAAGGATCATAGTCGTGCCCGACGTACTCCCTGGGGCTACTTGCTCGACCTCCTACTATCCAGCTCGACCTCAGCTCGAGCACCCCTCCTAGGGCAGACTCAGTCCACTGCACCCTCGCCTGGGTCCCGAAAAGACCGCGTCCTCGTCCGCCCGCACTTCACGCAGCACATCCAGGAAGGAGACCACGAGCGGGTCTCCACTACACACGTAGAACCTGGCAGTTCCTTCATTGGGCCAAACCTGCCCGGCCCAATGAAGGGACCTTGGCCCAGCGCTGGGGGCTATAAATACCCTCTGTTCCCAGAGGGTCAGGTATTCATCATTCTACCCATACTCCTACTATTGCCTGCTCGTACTCTTACTTACTTCAGCATCGGAGTGTCTTGTAGGTACCCCCCACTTCGTTCAAAACTTCAGCTCGGAGCCAGCCGTGACGGTCCAAGTCTGATCAGGTTAGATCAGTAGCCTTTCACTTCCCTAGGGTAATCCCCTATTCTCCACATCGACGACAGAATTCAAGGCCCGGGGAGGGCCGAAACTAGAGGTCGCCATTGCAGCATTACTACTGGTGTTGCGTACCCTCTGCTGAATGTTAGGATCGAATAGGTATCCTATTTTCAGCTTGCTATACGATCGACGCCGGCTCCATACCCTGAATAGGCAGTTTGAGTGAGTGGTCACGAAAACTGGCCAACCCTATTCCAGGGGTGGTGAGGTAGAGAGAGGCAGCCCCGACCCCTGAACGAAGGATGCCGTCAAACACATTCAGTGTTTAACTTATAAATTCCATTGTTGAATCTTGATTTAACAAATCCACCTTTTAAGGCACCTTAAAAGGCCCCTTAAATGGTATATCACCTCAAGGAGATTTACCATCGGTTTGCCCCCTATCAAATAGGGGCTTGTAGCTCGTTTCCCTCTCATTTCAATTGAGGAATAAAGTCAAGGCCTTGTCTCAATCCACGCCCGTGGCGAGGATTGCGGCCTTGCAGATTCCGTGAGCTACGAGCTACAATAAGGTCAAGGCCTTATCTCAAACCCTATGAGGGTTTGCGGCCTTGCATTTTAGCTATAAGCAGCTAGCTACGGGTCAGTCAAGGCCTTGTCTCAAACCCTATGAGGGTTTGCGGCCTTGCATTTTAGCTCTCAGCATCTAGCTACAAGAAGGTCAAGGCCTTATCTCAATTCCCTCGTAGGGAATTGCGGCCTTGCAAATTCCGCCAGCTACATTTATAAGGTCAAGGCCGTGTCTCAATCCCTGATAGGGATTGCGGCCTTGGCTTGCCTAGGAATTCGGTCAAGGCCTTGTCTCAATCCCGATAGGGATTGCGGCCTTGGCTTGCCAATATATTAAGTCAAGGCCTTGTCTCAATCCCTGAAAGGGATTTAGGCCTTGCTTTAGCTTCATTCCTGGAGATAACTGGGGGTTTCTTGAAAGAAACCACAAGTCGCTGCCCGTACAAACACCCCAAGTAAGTTTGTCCGCTTGCGACGGAGGAGCAAGTCATATTATAAGCTTGCGACGTAGGAGCAAGTACTCATTTCAGCTTGCGACGGAGGAGCAAGTCATATTATCTTATTCGTTGAGCTCGCGACGGAGGAGCAAGTACTCATATAAGCTAGCGACGTAGGAGCTAGTAGTAATCTCAGCTTGCGACGGAGGAGCAAGTACTTTTATCTTACTCGCCTTAGCTCATAGGTTTGTATAAGACTAAGTTAGATATCTAGAGCTTTCTATTAGGTATGAGGTTTCGGGAGGGAATCCCTCCCCGAGGTCTTCTCTCCCTCAACAGTCATAAGTACTCTGGGCGCCTCTCTCCCACCCTCCAGCCCCTACCTTTTTTGGTAGTCCGGGGCAGGGGGGGGGGGGGGCGCTACTAAATCTTTATGGTTTCAGTTTCGGGTCCTCACCCGAGTCCCCTTCACTGAAGGCTCTAATTAGCTGACTTGCTTACCATCTCGCGTAAGTTATAGGTCCTCCCCGAGGAACTCTTGATTGTTGTAGCGTGGTTGTTTATCGTAGGTGGTTTCGGATACTTTGAGACCGATGTCACGCACGTGGGAGCAATAAGCTTCGGAGTCTAGTTGGGACGAGACCCCTAATGTAGGTTTGGGTTAAACCCCAGTCAGTAGCTCCTAGGGAAATTGAACTTTTGAAAATGAACTCTCCTGCGGTAGAGCCTTTCACTTCCCTAGGGTAATCCCCTATTCTCCACATCGACGACAGAATTCAAGGCCCGGGGAGGGCCGAAACTAGAGGTCGCCGTCGCAGCATTACTACTGGTGTTGCGTACCCTCTGCTGAATGTTAGGATCGAATAGGTATCCTATTTTCTTCTTGCTATACGATCGACGCCGGCTCCATACCCTGAATAGGCAGTTTGAGTGAGTGGTCATGAAAACTGGCCAACCCTATTCCAGGGGTGGTGAGGTAGAGAGAGGCAGCCCCGACCCCTGAACGAAGGATGCCGTCAAACACATTCAGTGTTTAACTTATAAATTCCATTGTTGAATCTTGATTTAACAAATCCACCTTTTAAGGCACCTTAAAAGGCCCCTTAAATGGTATATCACCTCAAGGAGATTTACCATCGGTTTGTCCCCTATCAAATAGGGGCTTGTAGCTCGTTTCCCTCGCATTTCAATTGAGGAATAAAGTCAAGGCCTTGTCTCAATCCACGCCCGTGGCGAGGATTGCGGCCTTGCAGATTCCGTGAGCTACGAGCTACAATAAGGTCAAGGCCTTATCTCAAACCCTATGAGGGTTTGCGGCCTTGCATTTTAGCTACAAGCAGCTAGCTACGGGTCGGTCAAGGCCTTGTCTCAAACCCTATGAGGGTTTGCGGCCTTGCATTTTAGCTCTCAGCATCTAGCTACAAGAAGGTCAAGGCCTTATCTCAATTCCCTCGTAAGGAATTGCGGCCTTGCAGATTTCGTCAGCTACATTTATAAGGTCAAGGCCGTGTCTCAATCCCCGATAGGGATTGCGGCCTTGGCTTGCCTAGGAATTCGGTCAAGGCCTTGTCTCAATCCCGATAGGGATTGCGGCCTTGGCTTGCCAATATATTAAGTCAAGGCCTTGTCTCAATCCCTGAAAGGGATTTAGGCCTTGCTTTAGCTTCATTCCTGGAGATAACTGGGGGTTTCTTGAAAGAAACCACAAGTCGCTGCCCGTACAAACACCCCAAGTAAGTTTGTCCGCTTGCGACAGAGGAGCAAGTCATATTATAAGCTTGCGACGTAGGAGCAAGTACTCATTTCAGCTTGCGACGGAGGAGCAAGTCATATTAACTTATTCGTTGAGCTCGCGACGGAGGAGCAAGTACTCATAAAAGCTAGCAACGTAGGAGCTAGTAGTAATCTCAGCTTGCGACGGAGGAGCAAGTACTCTTATCTTACTCGCCTTAGCTCACAGGTTTGTATAAGACTAAGTTAGATATCTAGAGCTTTCTATTAGGTATGAGGTTTCGGGAGGGAATCCCTCCCCGAGGTCTTCTCTCCCTCAACAGTCATAAGTACTCTGCGCGCCTCTCTCCCACCCTCCAGCCCCTACCTTTTTTGGTAGTCCGGGGCAGGGGGGGGGGGGGGGGGCGCTACTAAATCTTTATGGTTTCAGTTTTGGGTCCTCACCCGAGTCCCCTTCACTGAAGGCAAGTCTCATCCGTTCCAGAAGTCGCAGAGAAATGGAAGGCTTCAATACCAAAAACTACGGAGGCATGATCTAAAAATGGGTAAGCCCGGTGGTTCAAGTTTAGCCTAGCCAACAACCAACATCAGCTTCTAGGGAGAGTAGGAGCTCTTGTTGCTCCAACCATTCTAGTGAACCGGTCGAGACCAGCAGCTATGAATACCCTGTGCCGGTTGTGCGAAGGCAGCCTCAATAAAAATCAAGAAAAACGTCCTCCTAAGGAAATAAAGCTGATTCACCTCTACCCTATTGGTTAATCCCGAAGGAATCTTCCCTGAGAGAGCTGCTATAAGATAAGCTCTTTTTCCATTTAGTTTAGAGAGAGTAGCTTGCTTTCCGCGGTCTGCTATTCCTTTCCTCTAATGACTCAATTTAAAACCTACCAAAATGGCTCTTTAAAGAAGGGCTTGATTCACAGGAAAATTTTGAGAGGGTCGACCAGTCCATTTATCATCCCACCACTCACCCAAGCAAGCTCAGGAGTTCAGGTGCTACAGATTAGTGAAGCCCGATTGTAAGTAACTTCCACAAAAGATATCTAGTTTTTGTCCTTCTCGGGTTCCAGTCCAATCTTCTGCTGCTGCCCCCGGCCTATACTTAATTTTAGACTTTATGGTCCAGGCCTCAGGCTTACACAAGTCTAATTCTTCCGCTACCGATATTGGATCTGAGCCTTCCTTGAAAGAATCACAAACAAAGAGTCAATTGCTTAGCTTATCGAGATCGCCCCCTCTTTCTTTCCTTTTGCGCCAAAATTCCTTTCTTTTTTCTATTTAGCTTCTGCCACACATTTGACACTGACACCTGGGCTCCACCTGAGGATCACCCAGACGCACGAGCACAGACTGGTGTACACTCTCTGCATATCGCGGGACTTAGGCCTTTGCATGCAGCACCTGTCTTCCGCAGGTCTAGAGTAGCACAACTGAAGCAAAACCTTCTTTTCGGCAATACGCGCCCGGGAGAGAGAGAGACATCTCTTGTTATTGCTGCCTTTCTTACTACTTTGACACAGTCGTCTACGTAAAGGTCTGCACTCAGGAGAGATGCAGTCCCCCATGTATGACATCTTTGAGCCTTCACTGATGAATGTTAAGATGAAAGCACAAGAGACTAGCACCCTTTCTCAACCTAAGAAGCTTGCATCTAGGATTCAGACTAGCCCACAATCTCAAAGAAATTCCGAGAATAAGAGTAAACCCATGTCACAAAGCAATCCCTTTCATAAAAGAGAGACCATCAAGAGTTCAGCACTACCAGACTACGGCCTCCACTCAGACAGGTCTAGAGGCGAATTCGCAGTTTCAGCAGCAATAAGTCCAACAGACTCAGCTTCAACCGCAACAACTTCAAAGAGCCTCAGGCGCGAGAGCAGGTTCAACCAGTGCCGCTACAGCATTCTCAGGTGAGACCAGAAAAAGATCCCTTTCCGCTAGGTCAGTCTCAGCAATACCTACAGCCTCTACCTCAACTTCAAGGGCCAGTCAATACCTGGCAAGCCCCTGCTAAACCTTACCAAGATCTTCTTCTATCCAAAGAATCCCGCTATTAGCCCCTCAGCCTACGCAATTCACTCCTAAAGACAAGAAAGCAACCTATCTTACAAATAATGAAGGTTTTGGCTTGTCCCAATTCTAAACCAAATAAGAGTGCAGGAGACCTAGGTTAGAGGGTTTCTACGCGCTTTACTAAGAAAAAAGAAGGGCTGAGGTGGAAGCATTTCCATCTATAGTAACCTTAACATCGACTATGTTCATGAATAGTGGGTATAGGTACCGATCAGAGAATAGCTTCAGGTAGCCCCTATAGACGACATCTGCGGGGTTCATCGGAACTATATAACAAAGGTATCCATCAATCAGTCATCAAGTATGATCAATCAAGCCCATAATCTAAAATTTCTATTCCGTCCCCCTTTTCAGTTGGAGTTACACAGGAGAGGTCCATTGGGGGCACTAGTTACTGGTTGGGTTACATTGGTCCATAGGCGCGCGAATAGGGTCTTACCAGTCTATTCTTTGGGTTGCCTTCAGAAAGTGTAAGTTCGATTACATCTAGTTCCAAGCGGTAAAGAAGGGCAAAAGAAAGCCTGTAGAAGTCTTTCTGGTCCCTCTGTCCGAGAAGATATGTTTGCGCGCACCGATCTACTGCCCGATTTCTGAATGATGTATCTAGTGGAGGATGGCTATTGTAGTATTCGATAGAAAGCAAGAATCAACAGCATTTGACTCACTTGCAAGAGCTGATTCTCTATAGGCCTGCGCTTATATCACTACCACGAATCCCCTTCTACATGACCTACTTGAGTGATATCGTACTCACCAACCGAACTAGAATGAGCCTACGAAAAGAAAGAAAAGGGGATGAACGAATAAGGGCAAGAGGGAAGAGTTTTCACTCGTGCTACTTAATTGGCAGCAGAGGAAGAGTCTGTTAAGAATTCGAGATCTCGGGGTCGAGTCGAGGAAGTAAGAATAGTCGAAGTCAAAGTGGAAAGAGAACCTAATTTGAGTATTAGGCACATGCACTTGCTCTGGCTTCTTAAGAAAGATTGAGACGACAAGCGGCACGTTTGAGCGGGTAGTAGATAAAATAGGAACTTCTTACCAGGGGGAAGATCTGTTGACTTATCGACCAGGCCTCCGTGAGGCTACAGTAAGACCGGACTGAGATGATGAAGCCATTTACCCCCTAGCTACCTGAATAACAGATAATCAGACTATCGGGAGGATGGATTGGGGCTAACAAAAAGGCTATCGCTCATTTATAGCATACCAGCCTCTTCACTTCGCTTCTCGCTCTCCTATAACTCTAATCAAGATGCTTTCCACAAGGGTATGAAAGATTTGGATAAAGTATCACTCTCGATGGCAAGGCTGGGGAAGATCGATCTAAGGGGTGAACCTATTTCCTGATTCCTTCTAGTGCTTAAGGTGCGTAGCGCTTTTAACGCTTTCTTAATTGCGCAAGAATGAATATATTAGTAAGCCATGGAACTGATTGATCAAAAATAAGAATATACTTCAACCGGCCATACATAACATAGAAATAACACTTGGAAAGGGTGGACAATTAGCTAGAGCAGCAGGTGCTGTAGCGAAACTGATTGCAAAAGAGGGGCTACATTAAAATTACCTTCTGGAGAGGTCCGTTTGATATCCAAAAACAGCTCAGCAACAGTCAGACAAGTAGGGAATGTTGGAGTAAACCAGAAAAGTTTGGGCAGAGCCGGAGCGGCTAGGTAAGCGTCCTGTAGTAAGAGGAGTAGTTATGAACCCCATCCACATGGTATGGTGAAGGGTAGAAATAAAGGCTTTTTATCTACCAATTGGGGCTAACCGAAGTCTTGGATTTATCGGTAGTGGTATCCCAGTTATCTTCAATTACTTAGTGAGAGCTTATCGAATTGATGTAAGGCAGGGATACCATGTAGGAGGCCTGATCATACACCTTAACTCACTAGAGCGAGCGCCTTGAAACGTCGGTGACCACCCTGTCGGTAGAGTGCCTTTCTCCTAGAGTGTATAGCTCATTCGAAGTTCGACCTCATGAAACATAGAGCTGTCAAAGTCCTCTCCTTCTAGTCGTTCTTACAGTCAAGTGACTGGTCGAGCTGAGGGTCAATTTGCTAGTTTCTTAGAAGGCTTGACTTCTGTAGTCTAATTCCGGGGATTCTTTCAACTCATGTTTGTTGGAAAAGACGGAGGGGTTGTGTTACTGAATGGCTGCAACCTTTCATTTGTTATTCTTTTCCTTGGCCATTAGGATTGAGACTACGATCTCCGGTTAACCATGTTCCAGCTAAAAGCTAGTCGAACTAGAGCCTGCCTTACGAGGGAGAATTCCAACTGTTAACCAAAGCGCCGATCTCTTCTTTCCTAGTGAGTCATATTCCACTCTGTCTGCTATTCAAGTCTTCCCCTTTCTTGTCGGCATAAGGACTGCCGCTCTTAAACTCCTGGCTCTGACAATCTCAAAAGAGAGAGTAGCCACCCTTTCTCCAAGACTTTAATCGGGAATTTATCGCCTGCTGGTTTGATTAGGCCTTTGTGCCTGGTATGAACTAAAAAATCCTTTCATCCTAATCCGCCTTTCCCTCGTCCCTCGTAGAAGACAAATGTGAGGTAGGCCTAAAAGACCTACTTTCCTCCTTCCAATCCGGGAGTGAATCTGTCTAGTTCTATTTTGACTAATCTGAATCTGTGTACTGAGTAAAAGAGGAATATCCTCTCTCAATTCTTGGCAGAGGGAAGCCCCATGACCGACCAACCGAGGCAGGGGTAGATAGAGGAAGAGAAGATTTATTGAATGCTCTCGGGCATTGATTGAGGTAGTAAAAAATTATGCTTCACTCGGATCTTATTTATTGTGTCGTGCTGCCTCCTTAACAACCTCTCCTTCCTCAACTGTTTGGTACACTCCCCTGGCTACTTGTACTGATAACGCTGGGACTAATTGAACTCAGGCTGATTTCTCCTCTTCTGACTGCCCTTCTTCAGGCACAACCATACCTTCTGGCAATGAAATTGGATTTATCCCCGCTCGATTTCTTTCTTGTAGTCATCGCCGGACCTGAGCTCTTCCCCCTAAATCCTTTCTATTGCGGCTTTCGAGCTACTCGCTACTATAGTGACAAAAGTCCAGTTGACGTAGCGTAGGCGGAAGAAGATCGTACTAAGTTCCTTTCCCCATTCTTGGGTGGATTAGAAGCATTAGAAGATCTTCCCCATCCCTATTGGAATGAATGCTTGAATAGTCCTTTCCCCTTTGGCCAAGCTAGTAAAGTATCTCATTCTATCATTTCTTACTTGACTTTTTTGACTGTAGCGGTTACAGCTAGACTACTTTGCTCAGCCACTCCTTGCTTCATTTTTGAATGGAAAAGAAAGGCTATTTTCAGTTACGGACTTAGGGACCCGGGTCAAAAAGATGTCTTTCGCCCTGAGATAGATTTCTTTCTCGGATCCGCTATATATTATACATTGGTTCAAGAAGGGCCTTCCAAACTGGATCATCCCACTCACTGTCTGTGGGGTAGGAGGTTGTCACCGACAGAGCGCAATTACACCATAACTGAAAGAGAAGGACTCACATGGTACATTCTGTACAGAAGTTTCGACATTAGCTATTAGATTAGGCACAAAATGGTTTATGTGGACCACTAGGCCTTGACAAAAAAAAGCAGAGGTACTTACTGGCCGAGCATGCGAGACGATGTTTAGGAAGATAGGATTCCTGAGAACAAGAGCCATTCGTGGTCACATGAAAGCGGCAATAGAGAATCCTCCTACTGCTAGGCTAAAGGCAAAGATCACAGCAGTACTTGCTAAAGTCCCCTATCCTGAACGTGTGCTATGTAGAAAGTAGTTAGCTGCTCCTCCTCGCCTAGGAGGGCCGATTGATTGACCGAGATGGGAATCAATGCCTAGTTCCGGATTCAGACATGAATTATAACTATACAGATTGTATAAGTTCAGGTTCAAGTCAAGGGATTGGATAATGGATCTAGCTTGTGCATCTTTTCGTTCATAGTGGGATATAGCCCGTCCCCTTTCTTTGGTCTATGACCTTTTGCTTCTGTTAATGAGATCATTGGCTAATCTATTATATAAGATTTCATTCAACGAGTCCCTCTAAACTTTTCTTTGGCAGCTGCTCTCGCTTCGTGGCTTGCAGGGCCTGAATCGAATGCTCGAATGTACTTGCTTTTCTTTGTTGAACCTTCTACGGTCTACCCTCTTTCTCGATATCCCAATTCTAGCGTTCGTTAGCAGAAGTAGAGACAGGGGGAATTTATCTTTTTCTGTGAAAATGACAGAAGCCACTATAAAGGGAAGAAGCTAATCCAGCCCCTTTACCCGCGAAGCGCTACGCTCCTGCTTACAAAAAACTACTTTCCAAGCGAACTACTGAAGACAGACTACTCTACTGGGAGTGGGAATAAAGCTCCAGTCCTTAGCCCTGAACTCCTTCAATATCGCACCTACTACCAAAGAAGCTGAGCCTACTTTACGCACTTCCATACAAAGCAGGCAAGGAATCAGTCCCAACAACGTCTACATTAACAAAGGATACTGTAACAAGAAAAGTGCTTACTCCACCAGCCAGCAGCTCCTTCTTTCACAACCGAGTCTGGCTATCTTCCTGAGACTGGTATCCTTACTGAGGGTATTACCCCAGCAGCGGCATATTTGAAAGCGATAAATTGCGGGAATTTAACGTCTACGCTATTACAAATAAGTATCCGGGAGTGGGGGTACAATTATTTACAAATGGGGATGAGACTTTAATAGGAGAGTAGTGTCCAAATAAATTGCAACCAAATCGAATCGATCGCAAATGTAATATGTATCAATGTACAAAGATAATCAAATGTGTATTGTAAATGTGTATGTGCATGTAATTATTTACAAGTGCGAAATGTTAACTTAATGAAAAATTAAGTATTATTTATTTATTATTTTTATGTGTTTTTGCTTATGTACAAACAAAAAGATTTTAATAAAAAAAAAAGGAAAAGAAAATGTTTGAAGAAATTCTATTTTTTATGTATTAATATTTTTATGTTTTATATACAAAAGTTTTTAAAAAAGAAATGTTTTAAGAAAAATTAATGTTTTATGTATTTATATACAAATGTTTAGTCAAAAAAGAAATAAAAGAAAATCTATTTTCTTATGTATTTATTAATATGTATTTTTAATTATACTAACAAAAGAATAATTTAAGAAAAGTTTATATATAAAAAAAAGAGAGTTTAGTGTATCATTTTATTTCACAAAATTTAATTATGTTATAAAAAAATAAATAAAAGAGTTAATAAAAATTAATGTAAAAAAAAATAAATAGGGTGTTAGTTTATTTAACAAAACAACAAAAAACAAAAAAAAAGATATGGTATGTAAAAAAAAAGGAATTAGTTAGAAAAAGGAATGGAATGGGTTTTGAAGGTCTTATTCTGACCCAAGCAAAAAAGTTGAACAGAAGCATGAGGGGGGGGGGGGGGGGGGGGTGCGTCCAGATTGGAAATGGGCTTTAGTGTTTTTAGAAAGGGGCAAGGCCCAACGTAAACATAACATTTTTGTAGGGTTTCAAGGTTTGTTTCATTTGGGACTTAGGGTTTGTGGAGTTTCAGAGGCGCCGTTCACTTCGTTTCTATCCTCTTCATCTTCTTCGCCATAGCCACTGAATAAGCTTTCTCTTCGCCCAAGGCCAACCAGCGCCACCGTCCATCCTCCTCCCTCCATGGACCGCTCAAGCAGTGATTCGTTCAAGGTGATAATTTCTACCTTAGCGCATTTTAGGGTTTTAACTCTTATGTCTTGCATGTTTTGCTTTTTGTTTATTGATTCTGATTAAGTGTTGTTGTTATTCTTGTTGGAGGTGCATGAAAGGAAAAAAAGGATTAGAGATACTACCTTCGTTGGAGACGGAGGAGGACGGGGCTGGAGGCACTCTAGGCGGCCAAGGGCGAAGGCTTGATGATGCTGTGTGCTGGAGAACCTGGTATTCGTATTTGCTTTTGTGTTGTTGGTTTGATGATAATGTCTTGAAAACCCTAGCACGACCTTCCTTTTCCTCTTCTCTTTTGATTGCTTCTGTTGCCTTTGATTGCTTCTTCTGTATGCTTTCTTTTTGCTCGCTTCTGAATAAGCTTGATATGCTTGATATGTTGATTTTGAGTGTTGATGAGGTTGATTACTGGCCCAATGATGAGGTTACTCTGAGGGCTTTAGCTTGCTGTTTAGAGCTTTGAGGCTTGATGCATTAGCAGGTTAAAGGTTTGTGCTTTTTTTTTTGGTTTAAGGTTGGACAGGTTGAAAGGCTTGATGGCTTTAACAGGCTTTAGGCTATTACAGGTTTAGAGATTTTTCTGGTTTATACACAGGTTTGTATGGTTTGTGGTTCAACAGGCTTTAGGCTTCTGGTTTAAGGTTGATGCAGGTTAAAGCTTGGACAGGTTTAGACTTTAGCAGGTTTCAAGGTTTGGCTGTTAAGCTTGAGGCTTGATGTTCTGGTTTTGGCTGTTTGACCGGGCTTAGAGGCTTGGGCTTCAGCAGGCTGTAAGCTTGTTTGACATTTTGTGTTAGTTTGTATGTTTAAGGCTATGGCTTTGTTGGTTTTGGAGGCAGGTCATTATTGGTTCTGCAGGTGAAGGCCTTTGGCTTGATGCAGGTTAAGGCCTGAAGTTTGAATGCTTACTCTTGTATGTTTGACAGGATGATTGAAGCTTATGGTTTCAGATTTACAGGTTGAGAGGCACTCTTGAGACTTATTACAGTTTTTGTTTCTTTGGTATTTTCTGCCCCCCCCCCCCCTTTGTACTGTGTTGATATGTTGTTTTATATCTCTTTCTTCAAGCCTAAGCTTGTTGTAAACCTTTCTTTTTCTCTTCTCTCTCTCTCTCTCTCTTCACATTTAAAAAGCATTTTTATTGCTTTAGAAATGTACTTTTCTGAAAAAGTACTGGCCTGAAAATGATGATATTTTGATGTTGCTTGCATTAGTTGCTTAGCTCTGCATAATTCCTGCTTTCCTGCATACTTTGTTGACAGCATTTTGTACTTTGATATCTTTCCATATCCTTTTGGACAACTTTTGATATCTTTGGCTTTGGGCAGCTCTAGTTGACTTTGGACTTAGTTTGAAATTGTGACTTGCATTGTTCTTTTGGCATAATCAGTAATTGTTCAGTTTGCCTTTATACTTGTACATGCTGTTTGTTTTGAAACTGTGCAGTTGGTTGACAATTTGAATTTGTGCAAAATTATAACTTTGTGCATTTCATGTTTCATTGCAAGCATCTTCTATCCCTCTTTGTGAACCAAGAGAAATCTTGTGATTTGCAGAGAGGGTAAAATGATTCCGGCCAGTCGCTTTTAATGATGAATCCATTTTTTATCTGTCCGCTCTTTAATTTTATTTATCTGCATTTGACTTTTCTTCTTTTCTTGTTTTGCAGATAAAAATCAATGGAGCAAAAGAGGAGTAGCAGTAGAAGATGAAGATTTGAAGACTTTTAGGACATAGCTTTGTTTCCATTTTAATTATTTGTAATAGTATTAATGTAAATAACTGTAAATAAATTTACAGTATTTAAATAATATCTGTAACAAACAATTCAAAATAAATAAACATCCCCTTTTTTTATCAGTTAATTCTTCTTTCAGTTCCTTGTTTATTTAATCATTTGAATTTCTTAAACTGAAACAACTGGAAGTAAATCCAATTACTTAGAAAAAGAAATAATTAATAAACGTACGGCGTTCCGAATAATCCAAAACATTGCACAGTTAATCAAACAAAACGTCCACATGCCTTTTCTTTTACTGATTCAATCAAACACTGCAAATTCTCAATCAGAAACCTCAGTCCATATCTCAGAGTAATTTGAAAAGAACTCTAGAATTAATTCTTTCTGAGAATGCGCGCACGAAAACTCTGATTCTTGTTTTAATTTTCAAAGAAGCGTCCGCTTGATCAAAACCTGAGCCAACTCAACCAAACCCTAAGCAATCTGTTTGAACTGCTTTAAAATCAAAGAAAACCCTAAATTTTGTCTGACTGACGAGAAAAGTCTGTTTGACCGATTCTTGAGCCAGTATGAAAAATCAGGAAAAGCCTGAAGCCGTGATTTCTTGTGGAAAAAAAGGAGGGCAAATTTTAGGGTACAACAGTTGCCCCTGTTCAATCTTCTTGAACCTGAAGAGTTAGATTGGCGAGTTTGCCTTTCGTGACTCGAGGGTAAAAGGAGATTGGACACTAGAGTGCCCAAAAAATTTGCACTCGATGATGTGATGGTAGAGGGAATGGGCTTACAGATGCCATTTGGTGATGGGCTTAGAGATGCCATCTAGAGATGTGATAGAATCTTGTCGGGGGATGGGCTTATAGATGCCATCTGGAAATGTTTGGAGGAGGATGGGCTTATAGATGCCATCTGAAGGTGATGGTTGAACTGTATGTCATTGGTGAGTGGACAAGTATCAGAAAGGTATCCATGTTTTGGAGCATCTCTGAACTGGGGGTCTGAATAAGCAATAGATTGACAACCGTGTTTGGAGAATCCGTAAACTGCTTTCAGAAGTCTTGAAGTTGAATAAGCAATAGAGAAGCATCCGTTGATGGGAAG